CTTGATTGCCATTCTTGTGTGAGGCCAGAGATAATTTTGTTACCTGTATCCACCAATTGCACAGGGCATCATTAGAACTGTTTGATTACAATTCTCGGGTAAGGGAGGAATTCGTTTTGTTACCTGTAACCACAATTAACGCAGAGTATTAATATAACTGCTTGATTGCTATTCTTAGGTGATGGTGGAATTAGTTCCTTCCTACTGTTAGGCTATAATAGCAATTTTCACAGGGGACCCTGTTTTTGTCTGTTATACTAACATTGTCAAAATGTATAAATTATTGGTGCTAATTTGTTTTGTCTTTCATACTTCCTTTAAAAACAAAGGTGTCATTTTCACCAATAGCAAAAGGATTTGCTGATGGTAGAATTGTGAAGGTCTGCTCAAAGAGGACAAAGGAAGTGGGCACCTAATATACTATTAAGCCATTATAGGTGAGGAGAAGGCTGAAAAAATTTAGTTATTATTGAAGTAGAAAGCTTTTTATTTAAATTTCTTTCACATACTGTAAATATAATGTGTAGGAATGACTATTAGGGTATAACAAGTGTTTGACATATTAGTACCTTTTCAGTACTAGCCTAGCTGCTTTTTTCATTTTTAATCAGCTCCTTGCTGTTATAAAAAAATATATTCTTTACATATTTATGCTTTATAACTAGTGTACACTTTTTAATTAGAAAACTTTTAAGACGTATTAATTCTTTGGTCTAGTTATAGGTAAAGGAAATTACTTAAAAATCCACTACACATGAATGATTAAAATAAAAAATGAACTCCTTATGTGAACATAGCTGTTATTCAGAGCTGATCCTTGCATCTGCCACTGCTCTAGAAACGTTCTAGTAATACACCTTGAAATATGTATATGAAAATACTCTTCTATATCCAATGTTAATTTTTAAAAACACACCTTGAAGGGGTTGATTTACTAAAACTTGAAAGTGCAAAATCTGGTGCAAGCCTGTATACAAACCAATTAAGCTTTGACAATAAGCCCTGGTTCACACTGAATGCGACTTTTAAATTGTGCTACTTCACTTCAAAGCCGCAGGTCAGTATGATTTCATGCATAGATGTTGCACATTAAATAGCAAAAAAATAGTGCAGGAACCTTTTTTTCCAAATCAGTGCGGCACTGCAAAGTCAGAGTCGCACCAATTTGAATGATTCCAAAGGCACAAATATGGTGTGACTTGTCATGTGATTTGGAACTGTTAAATTGCATGACAAGCCTCACCAGTGTGAACCAGGACTAAGCCCCAGTTCAGATATATGTGGCCGTGCAGGCCACCTTTTGCACAGGCACGAGAGCCCATTTATTTGAATGGACTGGACTCCCATGCTCCGTGACACGCAGAGAAGAAGTCCCTGACTTCTTCCAAAAACGCAGCCCGCACGGGAACTTCGGTTCCCAGTACGGTTGCGTTTTCCAGTGTGGGCGGTGTGCCATTAGAACTAATGGCCCCCGCCCGCAGGCCTGCATTCCTCTGTGTGGGTGGTGCAGCTGCACGGATTTTCGTGCGGATCCGCAGCCACACCACCCGCACATATGTGAACCTAGCCTAAAACCTGGAAGCTGACTGGTTTCTATGCACAGCTGCACCCGATTTGCACTCTCCAGTAGTAAATCAACCCCCATGTCACTCTATTTCATTAATATCTGAAATATTTTGTTTACTTAATAAAAAAAAATTTAGATATGACTCCACATTTTTTATCGGTAGTTCACATATATTTATAAGTAGCTTTTAATTACAGGATGGATTGTAATCTTACTTTGTATAATTTGTTGCCTTATAATCAGCTAAATCAATGTTTAGCAAGGATGAATGTACTTTATGTGCTTTTTATACTTATTTAAATCTGTTCACTGAATGGGCACAAAAATAATAGCTTATAATAATATCCTTAACATTTTTAATATTAGATAACAAAAGAATGCGTCAGTTACTAAACTGACATGCAAAGTCACTATCCAAATTACATTTGAAAAGCAATTCCATTGCTAAGACCTGGGTCATTCTTATACAAGCACATTCTGTTTTCAAAGAAATCTGACAAAGGTGCCTGAACTCCATTTTTTTTTTTTATTTTATTTTAAATATATTGAATACAGCTGCTGCATTGTAAAATATCCCCTGCTGTGGCTGTAATGAGACACTTTTGCCCATTCATTTATCAAGGCTAAGGTCATATAGGGATTCTCTAACTGGCAATAATAAACCCTTTTTTCTGCAATGTGTTGGAAATTTTTGTATACTGTACTGTATATTCAGATAGCAGGGATGATTTACTAAGGGAAAAGAACAAGAATTTACACTGCTAAGCAAACATGCTCTTCTCATTTAGTAAATCAACCCCATAGTGTGGAGAAGGACACTCTGGTATGTGTAAAGTTTTATAGTTATTATCTCAACGCGATGCAGAAAAATTAGAATCACCTATCTATGGGGAACACCATTCAAAAATGATAAATAAGGAAGCATTAAAACACTAATTGAAACTGCATAGATACATAAATAACATACAAAAGACACAAAAAAACCCATAAGAAAGCACAGGTGTGATGTGTGACATTCAACAGTAATCCTCTTCTAATATATCTCCGCCATAAATTATGATGTTTATGAGTGATGTCCCACCACAGATTGGAAGCAAACTCACTAGAATGCATGACCTCCAAACTATAAGCAGATCACATACAGCAATGTGCCTCTGTTCACTCCCACAGCATCCCATAATATCCATGTTTTTCCATTCTAAACTTGTTCCATAATCATCAGTCGTGTATTTCACAGTTAAATAATCAACAACATGGATGATCTTAGATGTATCAAAGATGACCTATAATGTGATTCAGTTTATTAAAAACTATACAAAATTAAAATGAGCAAACAACTCACTTGTTGAATGCCCATATAGGACTATCTTATGTGCCTCAGGCAACGATATTGCAATATATTGTCCCTTTCGGAAATCAATCAGCAACAGCTCTAATGCTAGTCCTAGGGCAGAAAATAGTTGCAATCAGTGTGATGACATCATTAATCTCCATGCTACACATTTTATCTTCAGTTATTGTAATCTAAAATACTATGAGTTTACATATGCTTTACCTTGTTATTGCTTTCTTCTTTGGACATCAAATGACCACATTAATTAACAGCTCTTGCAAAATCTATTTCAGATTACAGTAGACATTCTAAACTACCATAAATACTTATTAAAAAAACCTGCTGTGAACAATGGGCAATACTGATGATATTATATGGCATTTGCAGTTTTTTTGCTGCTGTAATTTCTAGCTATGATAATGCAACATTTTACTTAAGATGTTTAGGCCAAAATGTATTCTGCGACATGTCTTTGCTAAAAAAATCCCAATATGTGTAAATTAATTGGTTTACGTGAAAGTTATAGCATTTACAAATGGCGGTACATATACTGGAATTTGTTTATTATTTTAAAATTTTTTACTAGCAATGATGGTGATCAGCGACTTATAGGGGGGGGGGGCATTCTGACACTGGGGGGAACTGACTTGCTGTCACTGACATCCCCAGTGAAATCAATACAATGATTAGTGCTAAAAAAAAGCACTGACACTGTACTAATGGCACTGGGCAGGAAGGGGTTAACATGTGGGGTGATCAAAGGGTTAACTGTGTGCTGTGTGTGTTTTCTTAAGTGTGCTGTGTGTTGTGTTTCACTGTAAGCACACTGCTTTGTATGGATGTGCTATGCAGAGCCATACAAAGTAGTGTGTAGGAGCTGACAGGGGAGAGATATGCATTGTTTATACACAGGTCTCTCCCCTGTTTGGTAATTTTCAGAGATCGCCAGGTGGCGGGTGTTTGGCAGTCGAGGCCCTGAATGGCGGCGCCCCTTACCCAGAACTGCAAAATCACTTTTATATGTGATTTGCACACCTGAGCCTCCCTGTAGCAGTATTTATTCTATAGGGAAGCGCAAAACTGATTAAGATAAGCCACTGACTACATGTGCTCAGCCAAGCTTACCTTCCCCTGGTAATCTGAAGTCCGTCCCATATTACAGACTGTGTCTCCTCCTCTCCTGCCCCGCTCCAGCTGCCAGCATCTCCTCCTGTACAATCAAATAAGGCACGCTGGGGAAGGGGGAGGGTGCAGTGCCAGGGTTGTGGGGAAGAGCCCCCTGCCCCAAAGCACACCACCCATGTTGAGGGCATGTAACCTGGTATGATTCAAGAGGAGAGGGGGCACTCACATGCCCCCCCCCTTTTCTGACCTGTCAGGCTGCGTGCTCAGATAAGGGTCTGGTATGGATTTTTGGGGGGGACCCCACGTCATTTTAAAATGATTTTTTAATCGCCAGCAATATTTTACATTCAGCTGTCAGCGGGGAACCCCACTCACTGCTGATGACTCCCACTCCTTAACAGCGGCCACCCACTCCTTAATAACCCATGACAGTTACCAGTGAATACCGTATGCCTGGACCACTACCTAATTACCGCTAGCAGTTAATTATTTTTTTCCTTTTGTGAATTGATTTTAAGGTCTTTTTATGAGGTATTTAATGAGTGTGTTTTCTATTTTCGGTAAATACTCCATACTAGAAATAGTGAAATTACATTTTCAATATCGCATGCAATATGTGGTCAGGTGACTGAGTTAATTTATGCAATAACCTTTAGTGAATTGTTCCCCGTGTTTCTATGGGTAGCCTAAGAGCAGGGGCAGACTGACCATTTGGAAACTCGGGCACTGCCCGAGGGCCCGGGGTCAGTAGGGGGCCCCATGAGATGCCCCTGGTACCTTTTTCATAGGCTTTTTTGAGTTTGGGCAAGGACACAGGGGCCCCATTATCCCCTATTGCCCGGGGGCCCCATGAGTTGTCAGTCCGCCCCTGGTCCAAACACAGCTGATCTCATGTAAACAGGAAATGCCGATAATTGGCAGTCCTCTCCTCACACGAGAGGAGAGCAGGTAAGCTGCATTCCTCAGAGGGGACATCTACACTGATGATCAGTGCCCTGATGATCAGTGTAGCCCTATCAGTGCCACCTGTCAGTGCCCATCAATGCCACCTGTCAGTGCCCATCAATGCCACATACCAGTGCCCATCAGTGCACATCAATGCCACATATCAGTGCCCATCAGAGCTGCCTTTCAGTGCCGCCTATCAGAGCCAGTCAGTGATGCCTATCAGTGCCACCAATCAGTGCCACCTATCAGTGCCAGTCAGTGCTGCCTATCAGTGCCAGTCAGTGCCGCCTATCAGCACCCATCAGTGCTGCCTATAAGTGCCCATCAGTGCCACCTTACTGTTCCAATCAGTGCTGCCTATCAGAGCCAGTCAGTGCCGCCTATCAGTGCCCATCAGTGCTGCCTATCAGAGCCATATATGAGTGCTGCCTTTTAGTGCCCATCAGTGATGACTCTCAATGCCCACCAGTGATACCTGTCAATGCCCATCAGTGCCACCTATCTGTGCCTCCTCATCAGTGCCCATCAGTGTAGACTATCAGTGCCCATCACTGCAGCCTCATTAGTGCACATCAGTGAAGGGGAGAAATTACTTATTTACAAAATTTTATACCAGAAACTTCAAAAAACTTTTTTTTTTAATTTTCTGTCTTTTTTTAGTTTGTTTAGCAAAAAATAAAAAAACCCAGTGGTGATTACATACTACCAAAAGAAATCTCTATTTATCTCAAAAAAAGGATAATATTTTATTTGGGTGCAGCATTGCATGACCGCACAATTATCATTCAAAGTGCAACAGCGCTGAAAGCTGAAAATTGGCCTGGGCAGGAAGGGGGTAAAAGTGTTCAGTAGGCAGGTGGTTAAAGAATCTTCAGTGTAGAAAAAAGAAAATGATGTATAACATACCATACCAAATCATAATTTTCTGCAATTTGATGAATGTCATGCAAAAAATAAGAAGCTGGTTTACTCGTGTTTTATGTGACTATATTTTCCACAGTAATCAAATTCAGGCAAATAACAAAGCATCTAATCGAGTGGAATAAAGTAGCTCATTTCAATTTGTAACCCTGTTACATTTTAACACAACAAGGGTCACTGGAAACAATAACAAGCTCGAGTTTGAATGAAAAAGAAAGAGTGGCAAAATATGTAAAAAAAAAAAAAAGCCCATTTATAATACTATATACCATATAAATAACATAATGAGGTTGATTTACTAAAACTGAAGAGTGCAAAATCTGGTGCAACTCTGCATAGAAACAAATCAGCTTCCAGGTTTTAGGTTACTTTTATACTGATCCACCGCAAAAACGCCTCAAAAATGCACAGGCATTTTTACCGCGTTTTTTGAAGGACACCAAAACTGCACCAAAACCGTTTCTCAGAGGCATTTTTCAGGCATTTTCCATTGATTTCAATGGGAAGAGGCATTTTTTTTTTAACTCCCCAAACATGCATCATAGATGCTGCAAGGAGTTTTTACACCGCACCGCAAGCGCAACGCCTCATTGTGAAAACATACATAAATATACATTCACATACATAGGGAAGCAGTTTTCTTGACCTTTTCATGCGCTTTTTTTAATGCCAAAACGCTTAAAAAACTCCTCAGTGTGAAAGTAGCTTTTGTTGAGCCCTCATGTACACTGGACGTTTTGACGTAACATCTGGTAACATTAGCTGTGTAAAGTCATGTTAAAAATGTGAGGTTTTTTTTTAGCGTTTTTGAATTAGTGTTTAGAGGCGTTTTCCCGTGTTTTTCCACGTTTGCATTTTTCAGTGTTTCTTTTACCAAAAAACAATATTTTCTTTGGTCAAAAGAAAGTCCAAAAATGCCACATTGCGGCATTGTATCACTTTTTTCAGCGTTTTGCCAGGTTTTTCAGCATTAGAGCGTTTTTACAGCTGAAAAACTCCTTTAGAAACACACTAGTCCAGGGTTTTTTATTCCAGCCAAAAGACATCCCAGCCAAAAAATGCTGATTACAGTCTATGTGTGCATGGACACATAGGATAACATGCTGGGGGGTTTACTAGCTGTAGAAAAAAAACATCAAAAGCCAAAAACAGAAGCTGTAAAAACGTCCAGTGTGCATGAGGACTAAAGCTTAATTGAACAAGCTGAAGTTAGAAGCTGATTAGCTACCATGCACAGCTGCACTAGATTTTGCTCTCTAGAGTTTTAGTAAATCAACCCCAGTGTGCGAATTTTTACGATAAATAAAATGGTGTTCATGGCTACAGTTAGGGCTCGTTCATGCTTGACTTTATTTCTAACTCTTGCCAAATGCCCCTATAGCGTTTGACAGGCGTTAGACAGGCAATTGGGAAGCATTTTCAAGGCTCCTCAAATGCTCCCCAAACACTCCCAAAACGCCCTATGCACGGTTTTGAGGTGGTTGATAGGCGTTTGCCAAGCATTAAAACCCACACCACAAACTCTTTTAATGAAGTTAAATGGTATTAACGCTCCGCAACCGCCTCGCAACCGTGTCACAACTGTACTTGAATGGGAGGCTTCAACTCCTCCTGACTCGACACGAGGCGTCAGTTTTTCCGCAACGTGACACGACGCTAACGCTTCCCTGTGAACAGCACTGTGTGCTACCATGTGCAGAATTTTCATAGGCATTTGAGAAACGTTAAAAAAGCTTCCCAAACGCCTGTCTGATGCCTGCTGACAAAGCTAGTGTGAACGTAGCCTTAGTGTATGATTCAAGCCTACAATTTGATAAAAAAAGGTAAATATAACAACTTTCATTAAAAGCTAAGTGCGCTACACTTCTTTTCCAACATGCTGTGCACTTCGGCATAAAATCATTTTATAGCTTCTGGTACTGACACAGGGGCGGACTGACAACTCACAGGGCCCCTGGGCAATAGGGGATCATGGGGCTCCTGTGTCCTTGCCCAAACTCAAAAAAGCCTATGAAAAAGGTACCAGGGGCATCTCATGGGGCCCCCTACTGACTCCGAGCCCTCGGGCAGTGCCCAAGTTTCCAAATGGTCAGTCCACCCCTGTACTGACAATAATATGATGTTACCATGCACAAAATGCACCTTAGCACATATCATTCTGCTGATGAAACCACACATTTAGTTTTAATATGTCAGAAAGAGCTAGAGACACTTTTAATGAAGGTTGTTATAGTATTATAAGAACAACTTGCATATATCTTCCTATCAGTCTTCAGGCAAGAGATAAAAATCTGAGAGAGAGAGAATTTGTAGATATAAGCATGAAATATCAAGACAGCTTGAAAGAACTCAAATAATATATGCTGACAATCTGTATGTTTTCATTCAGACACACTGAAAGCTGCGGGGGGTATAATAAAAGATTTTAAATGAATTACTAAAAGTTATGTTTTAGTCCAGTGAGTGTAGACATGTGGAGGTGGGGAAGTATTTTATGGATGATTTTTGAAATTATTAACCTTTATATCTCACAAAGGACAGCGGCTATGTAAGGTAAGGTACAAGACCATAGGAACTGCTGACAAAATTGCTGTTAGCTTATGCCGGATCTACATCTGAGGTACACAAGGGGAAGGTGGGAGTCCATTGCACATTGCATTTTGGTGCAATTATCTTTTAAATGAAATGGGAAATATTTACAGAACAAACGTCATTATGAAGTTAAGATATCGTGTAAAGGAAAATTATTTTATAATATACAAACTTCTAAATTGTCTCAGCATGTGAGCCCTACACCAGAGCCCATTAAATGCCATTTACTTGTCTGTTTTTTGTCTTGATAAGTGTGTGGTTGTAACTGCATAACGACATTTTGATTAGGATCAAAAAAAGTCACAAGCTTTATCAAGGCAATTTTCTTTGGCATATTCTGGAGTAAGAGTAACAACAGAAATTATGTCTTTATCAGAATAATGTCTAGTTGCCTAGTGCCCTTTGTCTGCTGAAGTGTTACCATTCTTTTCTGATCATTTTAGCGGCAGTTATTTAACAAAATAAGATATGTGTACATACTGTATGTAAGCTTTATAATGAAAGAAAAGCAGATCTAGTATGTAGCCTCTTGCTGGCCATCTAATTATTATTATTATTATTATACAGGATTTATACTGCGCCAACAGTTTTCTCAGTGCTTTACAATATAAAGGGAGACAATAAAGTAACAATACAGTTCAATACAAGAGGGTTAGGAGCAGGGGTGGACTGACAACTCATGGGGCCCCCGGGCAATAGGGGATCATGGGGCCCCTGTGTCCTTGCCCAAACGCAAAAAAGCCTATGAAAAAGGTACCAGGGGAATCTCATGGGACCCCCTACTGACCCTGGGCCCTTGGGCAGTGCCTGAGTTTCCAAATGGTCAGTCCGCCCCTGGTTAGGAGGGCTCTGCTCCTTGGAGCTTACAATGTAATGCATATGTGTTAAGGAAAGATGGTGGGCTGTAATGTCCACTTGCAGCACATACACTATATTGCCAAAAATATTTCGGCACCCCTCTAAATCATTGGATTCAGGTGTTCCAATCCCCTCCATGGACACAGGTGTATAAAATCAAGCACCTAGGCATGCAGACTGCTTCTATAAACTTTTGTGAAAGAATGGGTTGCTCTCAGGAGCTCAGTGAAATCAAGCATGGTACCATGATAGACTGCCACCTGTGCAATAAGTCCATCCGTGATATTTCGTTGCTACTAAATATTCCACAGGCAACTGTTAGTGGTATTAAAACAAAGTGGCAGCAACTGGGAACAACAGCAACTCAGCCACAAAGTTATAAGCCACATAAATGACAGAGCGGGGTCAGCACATGCTGAAGCGCACAGTGCACAGAAGTTGCCAAGTGTCTGCGGAGTCAATAGCGAATGACCTCCAAACTCCATGTGGTCTTCATATTAGCACATCAGTGCGTAGAGAGCTTCATGGACTGGGTTTCCATGGCCGAGCAGCTGCACCCAAGCCTTACATCACCAAGTGCAATGCAAAGCTTTGGAGTTTAGAGCAGTGGAGATGTGTTCTCTGGAGTGATGAATCATGCTCCTCTGTCTGGCAATCCGATGGACATGTCTGGGTTTGAACGGTACTTGCCTGACTGCATTGTGCCAAGTGTAAAGTTTGGTGGAGGGGGGATTATGGTGTGGGGTGGTTTTTCAGGGGTTGGGTTTGGTCTCTTGGCTCCAGTGAAGGGCACTCTTAAGGCATCAGCATACCAAGACATTTTGCACAATTTCATGCTCCCAACTTTGTGGGATTAGTTTGGGGATGACCCCTTCCTGTTCCAACATGACTGCACACCAGTGCACAAAGCAAGGTCCATAAAGAAATTGATTAGCGAGTTTGGGGTGGAGGATCTTGACTAGACTGACCTCAACCCCACAGAGTCCTGACCTCAACCCGATAGAAAACCTTTGGGATGAATTAGAGCGGAGACTGCAAACCAGGCCTTCTTGTTCGACATCAGTGTGTGACCTCACAAAAGTGCTTCTGGAAAAATGGTCAAATATTCACATAGACACACTCCTAAACTTTATGGACAGCCTTCCCAAAAGAGTTGAAGCTGTTATAGCTGCACAGGGTGGCCCAATTCAATATTGAACCCTACGGACTAAGACTGGAATGTCATTAAAGTTCATGTGTGTGTAAAGGCAGGCATCCCAATACTTTTGACAATATACTGTATGGTCCATGGGTGACAGAGGTTTCTGTACTTAGTGCATGCTAAGCACAGTGACCAAATTTTCAAAAAATAGCTCCTAGTCTTTAGTAACGATCAGGAGCAAACTTTGAATCATGTCACCACTGTGACAGCCAGTCACAATGGTGACATGATCAGGCATCACCTCTATAGTGAAAAAAGTGCTTGTTCAATAATATATAGCAGTTCATAAATAGTCCAAAAAACAGAAAAAAGTGGGAGACAACAAATCAAGAGTTTCCACTATATGTGCTGTACAATGTCATGAATCCAAAAATGTGACAAATCTTCAGTTGAAATCCTCCACCAATATGCACTCACCAGATGTTATACATATAAAGCCTAATAAGACACCCCAGCCAGCCTGGACATCCACTGGTCACTCTTCAGCATGGATGGTATTGTTAGTCATAAGTAAACCCTGCTAGGGAATTACTCACCTTATGGAGCCCAGAATAAAGTATATAGTGTATTATTTTATTACCATCACAATCAAGACAATAAAAACTAGGTCATAAAATCCACATGTAACAAACAGATGTGGTTGGACTTACAAAGATGGCCACCGATCCAAACATGGACTCGGCAGCGTATTTATGCAAAGTTTAATTCTATGCACTTTTTTTTACATGAGTTATATATGTAGATTATAGTTTTTTTCTTTTGATGCACTTTATATAAGCTCTGCTCTATTTTCTTTATATTTATCTTATTGGGTTGGTTTACCATTAAGTGCCAGCAGCTCTCATCTCTGAACACTTGCTGCTTTTTTCTTTTAGTTATAAAAAAAAACCTTGCACTGTTTTTACTGAAAAGAATGCAAGGCTTTTTATAAATGGGGGAAGTACCGAGTGAGTGACCCACAGTAATCATAGCGTGTACTGCAGCCAGATCTATAAGTCTAGGGGGACAGCTGTTTATTGCTGTCTGGAGACTGCTGCCTGAGTAGAAGTAAGATATGTAGTAATTGCTGCAGCAGCCATAGATAAGGCACTCATCATTAGAGCTAATGTATTTTTACTGTGCAAATGGGCAAACATCATTGTTGGCCATACTTTAACTTTAAAATAAACCTGTACCCATTCATATTCTGAACAAGCAGTTAAAGCACTTTAAATCAATCCCATATAAACCTTTGCACCTATAGACATTGTGGAGAAACTCACCTGCAATGTTCACAGCAAACACTGAAATCATATCTCTTTTCCCCTTACTGCTGAAGCAGAATCTTGCCAGATTACTAACCTTCTAAAGCTGTTAACAACTGACCTCTGAGTCTTTGTTATGATCTTTAAAATGTTACTAAACCCACAACAGTAAAATCAGCCTGTATATGCAGTAAAGTATGCTTGTTTAATCATTGAGGAACCTAAGGAGGTAATCCTTTTCATTGTGTAAAAAGGCTGCTTGATCCTTTCTTCTCTGTTCCTCCTCTTTTTCAAGTGTCCACCTCTTATCTCCAGATTGAACTGTATGCATGTACATGCTCAGTTTGGTGCATATTGCTAGAGAGCATTTTTGTTTTCTTGGGAGAGTGCATGTGATTAGCATAGAGCCAATCAGCACTGTCCAGACAGAGGTCAGGTGATTTACTTCCTCCTAGAGCAGAATTAAAACTCCTCCTATAAGCTTTAGCTAGTGGTGTGGGCTGAACACAGATAGAAGTCACAAGACTGCTCTAACTTTTGATGAGAAAAGGTATTTAGCAGTTTATATTTACTAAAATAATAGGACGTCTATGTTATGTGTACTGTGGGAGACCAGATATAGTGAATGCAGGGTCCTGGGTTTAGAAACACTTTAAGGATCTTTGAGAATTAAATATTTTACAGTACAAGCAGCTAGAGAGCTCAGGAGAAGCTTGATTTACAAATCTTTCACTGCTATTTTTAAAGATATAAATAATGTAATGTCCAAAGTATGGGCAAAAGTGTACTTTAACAATACAGATTTGGGAAGGCAAAAAACAGTATGCTTCTCCATCTCCTTATTTTGGAGTGTCAAAATTAGAACCATCAGTGAGTGTAATCTGCATACTATATACATTCTAAACACTCAGTTGTGTGCAGAGATATTTACCAGTTTTGGGCTTAGATGTACCACTCTTGCCCTGAAAAACTTCATCTAAATACTTTCGGTATGTGTGGTCTGCTCTGCTCCACACCCTCACTCCCTTCCCCACAGCTTCCTGGCTGCAATCAGGTCAGTATCACAACAGCACCTCTCACTTCTTAGTGCCAGTTTGAAATGCATTTAATCCGCATGACATGTGAAATAGCTTTGCTTCCTATGGTGCCTGTTCACATATGTCTGGTGCACTGGCAGTGCGGATTGAGTGCAGATTAAAAAAGAGTCCTGTATGATTTCTAAGCAGTGTACTCCGGTTCAGGAACAGATTACAGGCTATTGACATCTATGGGAACCATATCTAAACCATACATATGCGAACAGGACAAAATCCTGACCTGAACCCGTTCTAAACCTGATGTAAACCTGACATGAACCGCTGAACAACTATTGCATCAATTAGCTGCGAAAACCTGAGCTTCAATCTGCACTGCACATGTGTGGATCAGTTCTCATGTGTAAACCAATCCTTGTAGAAGAGTGTCTACAGCGCCAATAAGAGTTCCAATATAGCAATGCTGTGATTGCTACATTGTAATTATTTTCTAGCTCATTCAGAGCAAATGAAAAGAGTGGCCTTTGATTTGAATATGTTGACAGTTAAAACAACCTTAAAGGTTAAAAAATAAATAAACTGTGTTCCTATTTAACCCCTTGTTAACCCTTAGTTAACCCTAACCAACCCTAATTAACAAAAATTTTGGAGTACCAGGTCATATTATTCAGTGTCCTCTGTCATACATTTCTATATTGATCACAACTCACTGCCACTGCCTCTCCTAGGAGAGGATTGAAGGATTATGGTCCTATTGTCTGTTATCCTTCAAAGTTCTGGTGGACCCTTTGTTAATTCCTGGGGGCATATATTTCAATGTGGATATGTACTCAATAAGTGAGTTGTCTTAAACTCTAGCACATAGTACCCATGAAAGCATATTTACATATACTGATGTATACTCATGGATTGCTTGAGAAAGCTTATTTCATAAGTGTATATACAATATATATAACATTTTGGGATGCCAACATTTCATACTGTACCTAGTATTTTACTTGTGTATATTTTTATTTTGAATATGTCTATTTATGTAACCTTATGTTTTATATCATGTGTAATTGACCTGAAATTAATACAACCTATGTACAGCATATCAGCTCTATCATGAAGAAGTGAGTCTAAAATGAAATGCATTGACATGGATTTTTTTAATTACTGTGGTACATGTATGATTCTGACATGGTCAAGAACTGTTTACATTGTAATATGTATCTATATATAATGGTTTTATATTGAGTTTGGAATTAACTTTATTGTTTTTGTATAATAAAATGTGCCTAGAGGAGTTTAGCATTTTGGCTGTAGAAGCAACTAATGTTATTATAGGCTTCTTTATATATATAAATGTTTTGCATTGTATTGTTGTTGTTCTGTCACATGTTCTGTCCCCATTTGTAATGTACAGCACTGAGTGAACTATTGGCGCTTTATAAATACTGTATAATAATAATAATATATATATATATATATATATATATATATATTCTTCTTTTTTTGTAATGTTATTATAGCACCACCCCAGCAGGAGCCGCTTGGTAACTTTGTGTTCTCTGATCTGCTCCTCGACTCCAAGAACAACCTCGGTCCCTCTGATACACCTAGTTGATTAAAAATCACTGCAAGCACACTAGATAACTACAGTTGTGTAAAATACCTTAACTTGGCTGTGGGTTACTACCAGTAAATAGACACACACCCATTATTGGTAAATGCGCTTAATCTATTGATATGGGTTAGAAAAAAAATAGTAAATTGAACATAAATGATCACACAGTTGATTGATTATAATAGTCTGTGAGAGTAATAACTATGTTAAATTGGCAAAAAGTAGATGTTATACCCCTAACTAGGATCAGAAGGGTAAGTTAGTAAATCAGCAATAAACAATATTAGTAAATGTTAAATGCAATATAAATGATGATAACACTACACCAGGTTAGAGTGCGCTCTAAGGGATTGGTAGGAATGCAGCATCTCTTAACATGTGGGGCAGTCAAAGGGTTAACTGTGTGCTGTTTTACTATGGGAGCTGTGTGTGTGTTTCACTGTAAGCACACTGCTTTGTATGGCTCTGCTATGCAAAGGCATACAAAGCAGTGTGCAGGAGCTAAAGAGGAGAGATCTGTATTGTTTATATACAGGTCTCTACCACGTCGGAAATCCTCAGAGATCGCCTGGTCCCGGCGGGAAATCATTGACAGCCGAGGCAACAAATGGTGGCGTGGGTAGGGAGCGAACATGCCCCCTACCCGGAACTGCAAAATCATGTATATATATGTGATTTTGCACACCCGTGCCACCCTGTAGCAGTATTTCTGCTATAGGACGATATGGAAGTGGTTAAGAGGTATGGCACCTCTTTAACCACTTGCCTACCAGGCACTTATACCCCCTTATTTACCAGGCCAATTTTCAGCTTTCAGCGCTGCCGCACTTTGATTGACAATTGTGCGGTCATGCAACATTGTACCCATATGAAATTTTGATCATTTTTTTCTCACAAATAGAGCTTTCTTTTGGTGGTATTTAATCACCACTGGGCGCTTTTCTTTTTGCGCTATAAATTAAAAAAATGCAAAAAATTTGAAAAAAAAAAAAGTTTCTTTGTTTCTATTATAAAATTTTTCAAACAGGTATTTTTTCTCCTTCACTGATGTGCGTTGATGAGGCAGCACTGATGGGCACTGATAGGTGGCACTGATGGGCACTGATAGGCAGAACTAAAGGGCACTGATAGGCAGTACTAATGAGGTGGCAAGGATAGGCGGCACTGATAGACAGCACTAATGAGGTGTCACGGATAGGCGGCACTAATATGCAGCACTGATAGGCGGCACTGATAGGTGACACTGATGATGGGTACTGATAGACGGCACTGACTGGCATCACTGCTGGGCACTGACTGGCGGCACTGACTGGCACAACCCCTGGGCACTGACTGGTGGCACTGACTGGCAGCACTGCTGGGCTGCACTGGTGGGTGGCACTGGTGGGCAGCACTTGTGGGTGGGCACTGGTGGGTGGCACTGGTGGGCACAGGTGGGTGGGCACAGGTGGGTGGCACTGCTGGGCACAGGTAGGTGGCACTTCTGGGCACAGGTGTGTGACACTGCAGAGTGGCACAGGCGGGTGCACTGCTGGGCACAGGTGGGTGCACTGCTGGGCACAGGTGGGTGATCTGCTGGGCACAGGTGGGCGGAGCTAGTGGGCACACTGCTGGGCACAGGTGGGCGGAACTTGCGGGTGGCACTGCTGGGCACCGATCATCAGGGCACTGATCATCAGTGCCCTGATGATCGGTGCCGATCCCCGCTCTGACAACTGCCGGTTCTCGGCAGTACTTTCCTCACGATCTGACAGCGTGAGGAAAGTGCAGCCGAGAACCGGCACTTGAATTTCCCTCTGATCAGCGTGTCATTGGACACCGCTGATCAGGTGGTAAAAGGCCGCTGTGATTGGCCTTTTACCACATCACGTGATCAGCTGTGTCCATAGGACACAGCGATCAAGGAGATCGTCGGGTGCGCGCCCCCTGGGGCGCGCAGGAGAGCGCGTTCTGGGAGGACGTCATATGACGTCCACTCAGAACTGGCCGGCCGCAGTGTAGCCATCATTCGGCTATCTGCGGTCGGCAACTAGTTAACCTCCCTAGCAGTCTGATTATGCCAATATTTCTGTGCTTAAAGCAGTACATTTTTTTTTGCATGGAAATATGTTGTTTTTTTTATTGTAGGTCTAGTAAACATCCCGAGGATGATAAAATTACAAACACGAAATCATAAATTATAATATAATAAATAATCATAAAAAAAATAATAACACAATAATAATAAATTTAATTCAATAATGTAATCAAACCAAAAACACTGAAATTTAAAAGTTCGCACATCGCTGAGCTCAGTCGCAAAATCATTTTCAGTGCCTGATGACGAATTTCCCCACGAATCATTATCACTCAATTCTGCAAGTGGTTCTAATTTACTATCACTGTTCTCTAGCTGATCTAAACCCGCTTTTGACCTAAAGGGATGCTTTTTGGACATCATGGACATTTCTCAGTTTCCAGGCAGAAAAAACAGTAAAAATGCAGGCAGGGCACAGGACAAAGCACTATGGACAAAACGTATGTGAAATGCTTTGATACAGTAATGTTTTACTATGTGATTTTAGTGTATTGAGTGAATGTAACTTTTAAAATTTTTGAATTTTCTGCCGGTTCCATCCCCCGTACGTCCTGTACGTCCCAACGCTCACAGAGAACAGAACCTGGAAGACGGATGAAGGCATCAGCCGGAGGAGATGGCCAGGGAAGCTGCAGGGGGGACATCGCGGGAGCGCAGGACAAGGTAAGTGCTGGAGGGATCCCGGAGCAACGCTGCAGGGTAATCCCGAGTGTAGCTCGGGGTTATCGCTTCTGGTACTGAAAGTTAACACCGAGCTGCACTCGGGAATACTGCCAGGGGTGTTAACAAAAAACCCAGGCCTCAGAGCAGCAACTGTTAGGGCAGTCTTTCGTCTTGACTCTTCAGCCGTCTAAACTTTGGGGGCCCATTAGTGTGTTACAACAGTTAAATAGGACCTGCAGGCAGTATCAGAACTACAGATTAGCTGTAAAGTAGTTCCTAATGGCTCAGTCACCAACAGTGGTAACAAGTAACGGCCACAAGTTCTTCTCACCAGACCCAGTAGCAGTTGTCTCTTCAATTGGGTATCCGCTCATTCTGGGTTGCCCATGATGACGCTGGTAGGTAGTTTTGTCCCTCCGTACTTGGGTCAAGCTCTGTACCCTCTAGCTGTCCCTCGGATGGCTGTGGGCTTCACTGACACAGGCTTTTTCTTTGTTAGGTGGAGTTCCTTGACACAGTCCTGTCACATTCTGAGGAGAATCCAAATCTGACATAGGCTATTTCTTTGTTAGGTGGAGTCCCTTGACATGGTCCTGTCACATCAATCTGAGCAGAATACACATCTGACACAGGCTATTTCTTTGTTAGGTGGAGTTCCTTGACACGGTCCTGTTACATCACTCTGAGGAGAATCCACATCTGACACAGCCTATTTCTTTGTTAGGTGGGGTTCCTTGACCTAGTCCTGTCACATCACTCTGAGGAGAATCCACATCTAACACAGGCTCAGGGGCGGACTGACAACTCATGGGGCCCCCAGGCAATAGGGGATCATGGGGCCCCTGTGTCCTTGCCCAAACTCAAAAAATCCTATGAAAAAGGTACCAGGGGCATCTCATGGGGCCTCCTACTGACCCCGGGCCCTTGGGCAGTGCCCGAGTATCCAAATGGTCAGTCCGCCCCTGCACAGGCTCTTTCCCTATAATGGTGGAGCTCCTTGACACGGTCTGTCACATCACTCTGCTGTCATACTCTGAGGAGAATCCTTTTTCTGGAAACATTTGGCTCTTCCCTCAGTACTGCTGATTGGTCTATTGCTGTTTCTAAGAGAGAGGGGGAAGAGAGTCCACACACACAGTCCTCAGTGGTTAAACATTGCGCTACTCATAGGAGGAGGGGGGGGAGTGACACAGCTACATTATACTATGTGTCCATGCACATTAGGTAGTCTTGAGGTGTTTTTTAAGCTCAGCTTTTAGAGGAAGAAAAAAAAAAACTTCTGTTTTGCGATTTTGAGAAGAAGAAAATATGCTAACCTCTTCTAAATGCTCCTAATGGCTAGTACATGGGTTAAAATTTCGAGTCCAGACCTACTAGCCAGGCACAAACCTTACTCGTGTCCCCCAAGGCAGTGTAGAGCGGGCCTCATGTCCCCCAAGGCGGTGGAGAGCGGGCCTCGTGTCCCCCAAGGCGGTGGAGAGCGGGCCTCGTGTCCCCCAAGGAGGTGTAGAGTGGGCCTCATGTCCCCCAAGGCAGTGGAGAGCGGGCCTCGTGTCCCCCAAGGAGGTGTAGAGTGGGCCTCGTGTCCCCCAAGGCGGTTGAGAGCAGGCCTCGTGTCCCCCACGGTGGTGAAGAGTGGGCCTCGAGTCTCCCATGGCGGTGGAGAGGGTGTCTCCTCTCAGCGTAGGAGAGCGGACCTCTCCTGCACGTGTCCCCTCAGCGGCGCTGCCACTGTAATAGCGATTCCGCGGAAACCGGAAGTTGTAAACCGGAACTCGGCTTCACAATGAGGCTTGGAGCGCATGTGCAGTCGCTCCATGCTTCTTCATCTGTGCTTGCCGCTCGCAGCCGCTCGCCACAGAGGAATTTTTCCTCGCATTTGGCGAGCGGGCGAGCAGCTTTTTCAAGCCCTGGGCTAATACACAAAACACTAAAATTAGCGTTTTTTTTCTGGCAAGAGCACACGTTTTTTAAGCCAGTGTGCATGGAGCCTTATTTTTGGTTGAACAAGTCCCCAGTGTTGGAAATAAAATCCCTCTTTGGTGTTTCTTTGTTTCTGCATCTTTGGGATGGCAGCTACAGAAGCATTCAAATAGTCTGTCTCCCATCCTTCATAAGCATTAGAGCAAAGAAGACTGGTAAAAATTAGGAGCTATTAATCACGTCAGTCATTCAGATTTCATTATGAAGCAAACACAAACTGGTGCACTCAGAATGTGGTTTAGCTGTGCATGGTAGAAGCTTCTAACTTCAGCTTGTTCAATTAAGCTTTTGCAATAAAACCTGGAAGCTGTCTGGTTTCTATGCAGAGATTCACCAGATTTTGCACTCTTCAGTTTTAGTAAATAACTCCCAAAGTGAATTCTTCAGTTTCTCCTATCTGTTTTTTTTTCTTTGTAAATAAGCCCTGGTGTTTCCAATTTTAACATTGATCATATAAATTCACTGTGCACAGTTTGTGCTCTCAAATAATCAAAGCAGATTTGCTTAATCCCAGTTTATATCACAAAGCTTTTTTTTCACAAAACTGCCTACTGTGCTTCTTTAGTTTATAAATATGGCAGATTATTGAGAACACCTGTTTATCTCTTAAAAATGACTTCTCTTAATATGATAGCACTTACTAGTATCCAGATAAATAATGTACTGTCATGCTTAGAAATATGTTTTAACTGTGTCTACATTTTAACTGGCTTTGTAAGGCTCCATTATTATTTTTTTTTCTGCTCCTAGAAGCTAAATTATATATATATATATATATATATATATATATATATATATATATATATATATACTAGATTGTAGATCGTAAGCTCCAAGGAGCAGGGCCCTCCTTTCCCTCTTGTATTGAACTGTATTGTTGCTGTATTGTCTCCCGTTATATTGTAAAGCGCTGAGCAAACTGTTGGCGCTATATAAATCCTGTGTAATAATAATAATAATGAATATGTTATCCTATGTTTCCATTCACACTACTTTAGGCTATTAGTGTTTTATCAGCTTCAGCTTCTAGGGGAGCAGAAGAGTTTTTTGGATAGTTTTCCTGGCAGAAAAAATGCTAAATGCTCCTGAACGCAACTAAAAAGCTCTTATCTAGCGTTTAAATTTTTTTCCTCTACATGTAATGTAGAAACACTAAGAAATTTTAACTCTTCTAAGCACTCCTAAATGCTTCTGAATGCTAATATAATGCTACTAAAAAATGTTATTACCAGTATTTTTTTAGGTTGCTAGGTTGGATGGAGCCTAAGACCCCTTTCACACGGATGTTCCGTTTTTTTTCATCAGTTCAGTCACATTTTTTCTGAGAAAAAACTGATAAGTCCACATCAGTTTTTCATCAGTTTTTTATCAGCTTAGGTCAGTTTTTCATCAGTTCACATCAGTTTATATCAGTTTTTCATTAGTTTACATCAGTTTTCATCTGTTTTTCATGTTTTTTGTCTGTTTTTCATCCGTTTACATCCGTTTTGTCTATTTATATCTGTTTTCAACCGTTTACATCCATTTTTGTCAGTTGTTGTCCATTTGTTTCTGTTTACATCCATTTTTGGCTGTTTTTGTTTGTTTACACCTGTTCTTTGTCTGTTTACATCCATTTTTGTCTGTTTACATCCGTGTTTCCTCCGTTCCATTTTTTTTAACGGAAGAAAAATAGGGTTTTCTTCCGTTCAAAAAAACGGATGTTAACGGATGAGGACATTAACGAATGTAAACAGATGATCATCCGTTTACGTCCGTTAGTCCATAGAATTACATGGGTGTCCGTTTTTCATACATAAACGGACAGATGAAAAACAGACATACAGCCCGTGTGAAAGGGGCCTAAAAGTATGTACAGATGTTAAAACACCAACTTTAATCAAAACTAAAGTGTCTTTTTTGTAATACAAACACTCCCCAAAAAGTATAAGTTAAATATTGTGCACGCATGCATACTTGCAAATTTGTGTTATCTTTTATATCGTCTATATTTCCCATTATCCATAAGCCATATTGCCTAGTCTGTTTATCAACATTAGTAGGAGGTGATGAAGGAGTGCTACATTTGAGGTTGGCAATGTAATCATTCCCTCATAGGAAGTCCTCTGTAGGAATTTTTCTTTATTCTTTGCCAAGAACGGGCATGTAATAGGACAGATCTATCCCAATGCCAATTCTCTCCCTCATTTGTCCTTTTTTTAAACCATGTGTTACTTGTTTAAAACAAATACAACAAATGAAGGCATAACACAGGATAGAATCAGGAGCAGCTACACTGTTCTGTGCAGTGATGGCCTCTGTGCCTTATGCAAATATAGAATCATACTGACATACTAATGAAGAGTTGTGAAAAAACTGAAACCAAGAGGTCATAGAGAATCTCAGGTTCAGCAAGGTCCCTGCACAGCAGCTGGGAGACCCACTAGAAAAGCATCAAGACATGCCATTGTTTTTATTTATGCAGGTATGTTTTTAACCACTTCCCAACCGCCCTATAGCAGAAATTCTGCTACAGGGCGGCACGGGTGCGCAAAATCACATATATAAATGTGATTTTGAATTTCCACACGCCCTACCCGCGCCTTCATTCGCAGCCATGGCTGTCAATCACCGGGTCACGGCCGGTGATTACACACCAGCACCCAGTGATTACCGACAATCACAGATGCGGAGGAGGGGCTGCTTTGTTTACTAACAGTCCTCCTCCATGTCAGCTCGGGCACACTGCTCTGGATGGCTGTTCACAACCATCCACAGCAGTGTGCTTACAGTGAAGCACACACCCCCTGCCCCCTAGTAAAACACTCCCAGCACACAGTTAACCATTTGATCACCCCTCATGTTAACCCCTTCCTGCCCAGTGTCATTAGTACAGTGTCAGCCCTTTCTTTAGCACTCATCACTGTATTGGTGTCACTGGGAATGTCAGTGACACCAAGTCAGTTCCTCCCAGTGTCAGAATGCCCGCCACAGTCCCGTAGTCAATGGAAAGGTACATTAGCGAAGAGGCCTACAGGATTAAGAGCATGGCAGATGAGAGCAAAGGGGAAGACTCAATGACAAAATCAGCCTCAGAATATGAACCTGTAGACAGCAGCGGCACCCTGAGAGAGAGCTCACACGACGGAGAATAGGTCCCTGCTAAGATCAGGTGTACCTGACCCTGTTCCCAGGTTGCTGAGATGTTACAATCACATGATGACTTTCATATGCAGGAGAGTGCCAGTACTAGTGTCGCTCTACCTTTTGATGAACTGGCACCAACAGTCTAGTACATCCTGGTCTTTCATACACCAGCACTGCAGTATCACTTGGTGACATAAGTGCAGTACAAGCTGGTGCGGTGGTGAGCACAAAGTGTCCCACAGCCACCAAGAATTCGCACACAGGCCTGTAGAGCCCCTAGTATCCTTCTGGATGTCCTTGCAAATCCTGATTGGTAGCCCACAATTTCTGCAGCAACTGCACTTCCCCCATTCACTGCTCAACCCGGAAATCAGGTGGAAACAGCAAATTTAAATACTCCCCCTTTTTTTAAGCTATTTTTCACAGAAGATCTGTATGCATTGATTGTGGATCAAAGCAATTTATATGCACAACAGTTTATCGCCAAAAATTCAAACGGGACAGACCATTCGCATTAAAACCCATTATGGTTTCTGAATTTAAAGTTTTTTTGGGCCTAACCCTCAGCATTGGCATTACTAAAAAAAATTAATTGAGGTTGTATTGGTCCACAGACCCTATTCATCATATGCCTGCGTTCTCTGCTGCCATGACCAGGCATAGATATGAGAGTATAATGTGTTTTATGCATTTCAATGACAACACACTCTGTCATCCTTGGGGTGACCCTGAATTTGACTGGCTCTACAAAATTGCTCTCAGAATATACATAAGTAGGTGTGTACAGTACTGTTGGATGAGATTTTTCATCAGCAGTTAAAAAAAGAGCATATATGCCAAAGCATAGGGGCCTGGAGTAGCCAGTGGGTGGATGGCCCCTATGCTTCGGCATATATATTTCTTGGCACATTTCATGTGCGCCCACCATTAGAAGTGAGTGGATGCAGGGCGGTATATTATAATGGTGGGCATACCACACACTTTTTCTGGCAGAGATTTCTTCTCTTTTTTTTTATTCAGCCCACAGGCTGCATACAAGAAAAAAAGAACATAGCATATACACCCAACAAGGACCAGCGACGTACTGGTACATCACTGGATTTTGAGTGGTTATAGCAGGATGATGCCTGCAGGCATCATCCTGGTATTGTTTTGTTTCAGCAGGCGCTCAGCTTTCATGTAAAAGCAATCCTAGTGGCTAATTAGATGCAGGATTGCTTTGACAAGCAGCAGGAGAAGATGCCGCCCTCCCCTGCTGCCTTCCACTTCCTTTTCAGGCAGTCCTGTGCCATTGGGGGGAACTTGAGAATGCAGCTGTTGTTTCTGCCAGCTGAGCATAGAGCTGATTGGAGACCAGAATAGTGCCAATCATCTCCATAACCTAAGAAATCGGAAGCTTTGAGCTTTTCATCACTTCAGTTTTGCAGGATATAAACAGCGCCATTTGTAAATTGGGAAAACATCTGATCACACCGATCTGACAACTTTGTGTAAAAAAATAAATAAAAATGTTTTTGTCATTTTCCAAAAAACCTGTGGGAAAAAAAATAAATCTTCCATGGACTCAATATGTCTCTCAGCAGATAGCTTAGGGGTCATTTGGGGGTGTTTGTACTGTCCTGGTATTTTAGCACCTCAAGAAATGTGATAGGCAGTTAGAAAGTAAAAGCTGTGTAAATTCCATTATCTATACCATAGTTTGTGGATGCTATAACTTTCACACAAAGCAATCAATATACACTTATTGGGATTTTTTTTACCAAAAACATGTAGCAGAATAATTTTGGCCTAAATTTATGACGACATTTGAGCTTTTAGGATATTTTTTATGACAGAAATGAGAAAATATAATTTTTCTTCAAAATTTGCGTTTTTTTTTGATTATAGCGCGAAAAATAAAAAGCACATAGATGATCAAATACCACCAAAAGAAAGCTCTATTTGTGTGAAACAAAAAGACATAACATTTAATTTATGTACAGCATTGCATGACCGCACAATTGTCAGGTAAACTATAAAGCACTGTATAGCAAAAAATGGCGTAAATTGCAGTATCTATACCATAGTTTGTAGACGCTGTAACTTTCATACAAAGTAATAAATATACACTTATTGGAATTTTTTTTAACCAAAAACATGTAGCAGAATACATTTTGGCTTAAATTTATGACTAACTTTGAGTTTACTATATATTTTTTATAGCCGAAAGTAAAAAATATAGTTTTTTTTTCCAAAATTTTCAACCTTTTTTTATTTATAGCACAAAAAATAAAAAGCTCACAGGTTATCAAATACAAATAAAGAAATCTCTAATTGTGTGAAAAAAAGGACGTAAATTTCTTTTGGGTACAGCATTGCATGACCGCTCAATTACCAGTTGAAATATTGCAGCACCCAGGGGCGGACTGACAACTCATGGGGCCCCCGGGCAATAGGGGATCAAGGGGCCCCTGTGTCCTCGCCCACACTCAAACCAAACCCAAAAAAGCCTATGAAAGGTACCAGGGGCATCTCATGGGGCCCCCAACTGACCCCGGGCCCTCGGGCAGTGCCTGAGCTCCCAAATGGTCAGTCCGCCCCTGGCAGCACCAAATAGCAAAAAAAGGCCTGGTCAGGAAGGGGGGTAAATCCTCAGAAGGACAAGTGGTTAGCTTGCAATTTCCATGTTAAAAACAATAACAAATGTACTTTAGTTGTGCTCTATCCCCATCCTGCTAAGTGAACGCATATATGCAGCCTCACAGAAGTGGGTCTCTTTCAATGGGGCCAAACAGAAGCACTGCTATGTTTGTTCTCTTATTGACAGCTCCAGGTCTCATACTAATGATCAGGGACTATCACATGATCTCTGTGATAGCCTGTGATTGGCTTTTACAGTGATCATTCACTATACATCCCCTGCTTGTGTTGTTTCTTGGGGAGAAACAATACAGTTTGTTTTAGGGTATGATCACAAAATATCTAATTTTTTTTATGTGAGATTTAAAAAAAAGCCTTTTTTAACTTTAGTATCAGTGTCAGATATTGTGTTTTAGGTAGGATAAAAAAAAGTAAAATGCGTACTGTTTTTGGGCTCCGATATGGTTACAAACAACAAATAACATACTGTATGTGGCATCACCTCAATTCTCAGGAAAAAAATAATTTATTTTGAGTAGGTCTTTAGTAGTAGATAATGGTAATGATGATAAATACACAGGAACATTTTGAGAAAACACCTTTTTTTTAACTATTTTGGGCTAATTTTTCTTTAATAATTAAAAAAAAATCAGGGCATATCTATTATCATTTACCACCAAATGAAATCCTAATTTATCCTGAAAAAAAAAGTATCATTCAATGGGATATACTAAGTAGTTGCAAAACCATGTTCAGGTAATAAGATGTGTGTATTCTCTGTCATAAAGGGTTTAAGGTTTGTATAAGCTCATGCTATTTTCTGCGTTATATAAATGTTTTTAAAGGGTATTTCTAAGCTTGTAGCCAAATTGGCATATTACCTAATTTATGTTTGTACTACATGTCCCGATTCACATAGTATAACTTAAAAAATTAAAGTCTAAAAAATTGCAGCTTACCTTTTTAGATGTTGTTTTCTGGAACTTCCAGCAAGGGAATGTTCTACATGTATCTCTTTGTTATGAGTGGGCCAGGGAAGCTGTGTTTACCATAATTAACCCTGTATGGAGGCAGATCAGTTGTACTGGATTTGAATGCTGTCTCTTAACAAAAGGTTAAAAGTTGGGAGCTGGGTTCCTCAATTGTGTATTAATGAGAACAAGACCCTTTAGACTAGCCAGTCCCTAGCTTAGCTATTGGGACAGATCATGCTGATCTAGTTGAGAAATTATTGCAGTCAGCCATGAGACCTTCTCCTCAGAAACATCTAAAAGTTCTTTTTTTTAATTTTAATTTTTTATAGGTATGCTATGTGAATAGGAATTATAGTGGGGTTTTCTCAAATTTGACTAAAAAAGTAGAAATCCTCTTTAAGGTATATGTTCTTAATATGATTAATTCCAAGGACACTCTCCACTACTATGTTGTTTTCAAACAAAACCAAAAATCAAGGTAATGCACTGTAATGCATCAGCTGTTAGCTAAATGAAACTGTAGCAAGATATAAGCAGAATTGCACACCAGAACCAATATGTTATCATTATATGCAACCTTGGATCCTGACCCTGTCATTTTTGTTCTGACAACTATCATATCTTCCAAAGCTACAAAACTCACTCCCTTTGATTAGTTAGTTTTCCGTTGGTAAAAATGTTAAGAGGTTAAGAAAGTGAGCCTAGAGAATTAATTAGCTTACAGCTAATAAAAACACAAGACACTACCTTAGAAAAGAGATGTTATCAATCTTAAGAATTATAAAGGAGGGGCAGGATGCATGTATTTCCTGAAAAAATTCTTGGATTGTAGATGTTGTAGTCCAGCACCTGGGGATTTGAATAAGGCAGAATGGAGAGGGTGAGAAGAACCTCCCAATACTCCAGTACTGCCAATCTGTCTGTTCGCAATTGTGCACATTTCCCTATGTGGAAATTTGGCACAGGAACTGTAGATGCAGTCATTCCACAGGACAATTCTGACAAACATTATATTAAAAGACAACATTTTTCTTTATTAAATTCCCAACCTCTGGATGCACATAGCCTGGGTTTTATACTTACCTTCAGCCTCAATCCAGCGATCTAACATCTGAATTGGTTCCAGCTGACTCCTCTTCAGTCTGAACATGTGCGCCACTGGCCCCTTCATTCTTATTGGGAAGAGTGCCTGCTGGCGGCCTCTACTACAGTTTTCCATATGATTGAATGAAGCTATGGCATGCATGCACAGAATGAAGACAAGTCAGCTGGGACAATAGTACATAACAGCATTTTACTATATTCATTTGATCTCTGCAGCATTCAAAACTGTGCTTACTTTTGCTGGTTGCTTTACAAAATGTTATATCGACTATAGATATTCCATTCCTCTAAAATAATCATTGTTGACCTTACATGGCTCATTCTATAAGGCAATGCAGACAGTAAATACAAAGTACAATAGCCTACATTAAGCAATCAGGTTTCACTTTATGGTCAGATGAGTGGAGGACTGAAATGAAAGGAATTTTCCCCCCAGACCTGTAGAAATAACATATTGGGAGCCTGATTGGAGACACTTCACTGTTTAGACATTGATTACAGTAGGACCTGCAGTCAGTGACATATGCTAGGTGTTATCAGGGCCATGGATAAGGGGGTACCAACAGTCTTCCTGTACAGGGCCCAGGCCAGCAGGGGGGCCCAAGCAGAGGGGGGAATCGCATGTGGGCAGGGAGGGAGGGTGATCAGCACAGTGGGGGGTGAGGGGGTAATTACTGGAACCAATCCCCTGTATGACTCTCTCTGCAGCAGCTGAAAGCCGGTATCTCCTCCTGTCCCTTCCGCCAGCTTTTAGCTGCTGCAGAGAGAGTCATACAGGGGATAGGTTCCAGTAATTGCCCTTCCAACGCCCCACTGTGCCGATCACCTTCCCTGTGCACCATACGTTTCCCTCTACTGCCCAGGCCCCCCTGTGTACCCTGTGTAACCCCAGTGTTGCCAGGTTTCCTCCTCTCCTTCCCAAAGGCAGCTGCAAGCACACACTAGGATCTTTCAGGATGAGAGTGGGGGAACGGTCTGATTAATATGTCACATTTGCCAGCCCTTCCTTTCCTGAATGAACACAATGAGTGATTGGTACTGGTCACTCACTTTGTTCATTCATAACTGAAGCATAGTAAACTGTGCTTATTTGATGGGGCCCTGTCAGGTTGGCTGTATGGGGCCCCATGGTTTCTAACAGCAGCCCTGGGTGTTATACAGATATCTTCTCCCAGTTCAGACTTGTAATCCCAGTTCCTTGCAGAAGAAAGTCTTCCAGCACTAGCCACCTTTCCAGCTGCCATGTGACCAAATGCTGAGAGCTGCAAAGGAAATTGATTACGGAAAATGTGAAAAGGGGTATCATAACAGGCCATGTGGCTTGGAAACACATCTCCTTTTACCATGGGCACCAGTCAGTATGGCACCATGCCATACTTTGCATAGTATGCTTTCCTGTCTCTACCATGAAAGAGCTAGCCCTCCTAAAAACCAAACCTAGCCTTCACTTTGATATTATCACTGCTGAAAAGCATGTTAAAGCCTATTATGCTATCCGAGTACTATAACTTCTTGTCATTATCAAACACACTGTGTGATCATTTTCTATTTATTTATATTTCCACTAATTTGTATGCAATTTAATAAGCAATGTTTCCATGCAAAAAAGAGCTCTTACCTGAACTTTATTATTACTCTTCCTTTACAAAAATGAATTTGTGCAGAAGCAATTCTTATTTTACTGAGCCCATTAAAAAGCTATCACAATGTTCTCGTGACACATCATAAGTCTGTAAACATTGCAAAGAGAGAAATCCGTTGTCAGGATTAATATGTAATTTCTTTTGTGTGCCTCATTACTTTCCATCCAAATTTATTTGCACACAATTTGCTTAGTATTTAATATACAGTGTTTCACCTGGGACACTTCAATGTTTTTCAATGATTATTTATTCATTTTATTGTTGTAAGTACATCCAGATAAAACTGGATTGAATCTCAGATTGAACTCATCTTCTTCGGCAGCTGAGAGACTTACAAGGATGGAGTATAGGAGTTAACCCAAATCTTTGCTTGAAAAACATTTCAAATCAGATAGGATAAGAGATTGCATTACCGTTTCTGGAACACAGCAAGATTCAGGGCAGTAAATAACTGCAAAATATGTGTTTTGTTACATGTTTTGCTTGTTACTTCTTTATCGGTAAAGTAAAATTTCACCCATTTAAATGCAACAGGAGAAATTAAAGGAGAAGTACAGCCAAAGCTCTTTTGGCTATTCTTCTCCTGTGGATCTCAGGAGTGAAGTTCGTTCTGCAGTCTTGTACTTGTTTTCAGCTGACAGTGGGCTAAGCCCACTGTCAGCTGACGTCACTCAGCCGTTCCAGGCTGCGGAAAGATCCCGACTTTAAAGTTGGGATCCACCCCAGAGTCTGGAGCGGCACCTGGCTCAGCCTTTCAGCTATCTGCTGAGAGCCTAAGCCATCCGCTCCCTCCCCCTCCACAGCCCAGCACTCCAGTGAGTGCGGGAGGGGGCAGAGCAGATAGCGGTGACTGACAGTCATCATTCTCTGCTCACAGCGGTGGTGAGAACTCAGCAATCAGCTGTGATGCGATCGCTTAGTTCTCACCATTAGAGCCGGCGGGGGACAGATACAGTATCGGACTGATGTTGCATCCACCTAGGTAAGAATAATTTGGGAAAAAAAAAACTTCTTTTTAAAAAATTGAACTTCAAAATAATCCAAAGTAGGCATAAAATCCAAACCATTGCCTACAAATTATGGCAAAATCAAAAAATTATGTGTTACAGACAGGTGACCAAAACTATATAGAAGTCCTACATTTCAGGATTAGTAAAAAACAAAGAGCAATGAGCAGTAACCAAAGCAACCAATTTGCCGCATTTTACTGATCTAACTACACAAATG